CACACACACACACACACACACACACACACACACACACACACACACACACACACAATACCAATCAATCATTCAATCAATCAATCAACCAACCAACCAACCAATCCATCCATCCATCCATCCATCCATCCATCCATCAAATCAACATCCTATCGATATGATAGGATCTTGATTTGATTGATTGATTGATTGATTGATTGATTGATTTGTTTTCATTAATCGATTGATTGATTGATTGGTTGATTGCTCCAAGCCTACCCCAGATCCAGGTCCCGTTGCAGCGGCCCCGGATACTTCATTCCCCGGGGCCGGGTCTGTGGGGGTCGCGATAACCCCGGTTGCCGAAGCCCCAGGGAGTGGCAGGGACCAGCGGTTTTGATACAGGAGCAACTGGTTTGTTGTCGGGCAAGGGCGTACCCCGCCCAGGCAGGGCCAAGAGTGGCGGGGACAGGCTGGGGTGGTGGGGGTCCAGGTGCAGGAGGCTTGATACTCAGATACGTAGGTCCAGGCGAGTGCCCAGGTTCAGGATGTTTCAAACCTGCTGAAGCAGGTCCAGGTTGAGGCGGGCCCGATCCCATCGGGCCCGGGGAAGATCGATCCCTCGAAGGCGAGTGCCCAGGTCCAGGTTGTCCCGATCCTAGTAAAGCAGGTCCAGGTTGAGGCTGGCCAGATCCCGACGGGCCCGGGGATGATCCATCCTTCGAAGGCAAAGGTTGATCCGCACGGCGCAACGCGTCTGGGCCCGATCCCAACGGACCCGGGGGAGATCCATCCCCCGACGGGCCCGGGGATGATCCATCCTTCGAAGGCGAAGGCTGATCCGCACGGCACAACGCATCCGCATACGTGCCTGCAGCAGGTGCGATGTATTTAGAGCATATCATATCCCCTTATCTGTGTCCATACCATCGGCAATCAGCACACCACGGAGTGTCTGTAGTGACAACTTCGAGTTTGTGCCAGCCGCGAGGGGTTCTAAATTTCAAGAATTTTTGCATCCTCTGTCTTGCTTTCGGATCAAGATCATACCTATGGTTGACCAGTCGAGGATTTCTGTTGTTCAGGGGGGTATGCCTTCTGTACCTGACCGAACGCTTGAGTAACTGCCGGTTCCAGAAAGGGCATTGCCAAGTAGGGAACTCGCAACACCCTTATCCACTAATATCCAGTACTTTGCTGATTGGATATCATCCCTACCTGCGGCCATTTCCGCCGGTGTAGTCCATGACCTGTACTGTACTTTACACGGTCGGCCGGTCAGGGTGAAATTGTCTTCGCCTTTCAAGGTATTGATTATCCAATCACGAAGGGTATGACTAGGGGCTAAATAGGAAACCATGTTTGCCCCTTCCGGCTGGATTCTTCCCTTTTGACCCTGTGCAAGATTCAGATCCCAAGCAACCTCGACTGTTCTCACCCATTCTTCTTTGACAGCAAATGACACATCAGCGCCAGGTCCTTGGAAAACTACCAGGACCGCATGACATCGCAGGTAATCAACAGTCATGTCGGTCGTCTGGGGGCGATATCGACGTTAATAGTGTCTTTGTCTTTTTTGTCCTGGGCGGTTGTTATATACCTGGCCGCTTGCTTTGGATCCTCATCGCCTGTTAAAAACATTCACGAAGCATCGCGCTCAAGAGCTCATGCGGCGGTGGTTGAGGTGGGGTGGCCATCTCAATCGCCAAGAATGAGGCTCAGAAGGCGATAGTTCACTTTCGTGATATCAAAAGAGAAAGATCACAGGTGATGCTAACC